TAAAAAGCTATTACTAATCCTAGATGTTGCTGTTCCATCTGTATTTGGTAGCTGTCCAAATTACTTCTCTAAATTAATTGCCATAAGTTTCCTATAGAAAAGAGCAGTATTTTGCTTCAGTAGTTCTTCTAAACTTACTTTGTGTCGAATTGGATGGTTTAATCCATTAGAGAAATGTGGTTGTCCTTCCACATATGAGGTAGCAAGGATTGGAAGTTTGAAACATGGAAAATTGAAAATAGGGAAGGAATTTACACGAAGTAGATTTGTTCAATCTTTGGAAGTCTTTCATTGAAAGACAGAATATTGCTAAAAAGAAACTATTTTTACATTAATAATTATCAGGATGAGAAACTTCGTACTTTTTAATAGCACTTGGTTGTGTTTCGAACTCATTAAAGCCATTTCATCCAACTTATGCGAGTCAAGCAGACATTCTTTTTCTGTTTTGCCCTTAATGATCTTTTTTTTTTTTTTAATTAGAGTTTGTTAGAAAGCTGTAGGGGATGTAGATCTTGCTTTTTAAGAAGCAAAACCACACTTGTGGTCTGTGTAAGAAGACAAGGTGTAAACTGTTTTTCTTTTATATTTAATGTTTTGCTTTTTGGAGGATTTTTTTTTTTTAATCTTCTACTGTGCTGTTTCTTAAAGAATTTGCTGAGTGTATAGTTTAAATTTAGATGTTTTCATTTAATGATGCCTGCTAGATTTATTAATTGAAGAAAAATATATTTAGTTGGATTCCTTCCAATGAAATAACATTTCAGTTAGTTCAGCTCATGCTACATCTTCTATTCTTATAATATTTTTGAGCATGGAATGTATTTAATATGAAATGTTTCAGAATCTGATGTCTCATTTCAATACTGCAACTTCAGTATCTTCATCAGTGCTGTGTAATTTAGAGCAGAGGAGGCCCAGACTACTGCATAAAATGTAAATAAGACATCATGGAGACTCTTGCATCTTAATTAAGTAAGGTTTTGCAGTAAATGTCCTAGCAAAGGGTTTGTTCTCCATTGGGGTACATATCCCTCTTTTTCAGAAAGAGCCTGCATTCACGCTTCATACCACAAACTAATACAGTAAAACATCAATCGTTTTGCACTCCTAAAATACTGGTAATAATTGCAGAAAGCTAAGCTACAGGTTTAAAATGTTAAAGGTTTCTACAAATAAATCATAGGTAATTTAGATGTTTATGTGATTATCTCCATAGGAGATGGAACATTTTATAGGGAAAAGGGACTCATCTGAAAATATATGAAGCTGGAGTGTGAATCACAGGGTTGAGCTCTCCTGCAGTCACTGAGTATTGATTTGAGGTAAAATTCTTTTGCAAGTGTCATGCTTCAGAGCTCATATGCTGTACAGTCTTGGATTTTTTTTTTTTACTAGCTCAGATTTGGAATATGTACCATTGTTTAGCATTATATGTGTTTCCATCTGTGATTGTATTTATGTATGTAGAAATGAAGAAAGACTGCAAGACAGCAGATGAGATTGTTTTTTATGAATATACTACTTAGTGGATAATTTCTTTTTTCTTAAATGAAAAATTTACAATGCCAAAGCATAGGAATGCATTTTAAAGTAAGTATTAAGAGGAAAAGGATTGGCCAGACCTTCTAAATTCCTGCTCAGAGAGCTTTAATTTTCAGAGAATGTCAGTCTTTTACTGCTTTTGGAAGCTTTTGTTGAGGGTCTTCTCTTGATGTTTTGGAGTGCTGAGCATGTTATTAATGAATACCTAGCAACCTAAACATCAGCCCTTAACTGTTCTCAAAGCTTATGGTATGTATTCATGTAAGAACTATCAAAAACTGTATTTAGTTGGGGGAATGATACATACAGGTTAGAAAAAAAAAATCAAAGTTTGTGCAGCTTCTACAGCTGACACCAGAGAGGTGAAAATTGACTTTTGATTTTCTTAATCCATGTATTAGCTTTTATCAGATTTTGAAAAAGTATTTCTCCCTTAATGATGTACAACAGATGATTCGATATATAAAACACAGTTGAATGAACAAAATAGCTGCATGCTGTTGCTTTCAAAATCTGAATCCTAGACCTTTATTGGCAGTAGTGATGTTCTGTTTGGTTTTAAACAGTTTGCTTAACAATATGCTCTCGTTTTAACACAAATAAAGGAAGCTATTCTACATCAGAGTTAGATCAAGAGTACCAATTTCAAGAGGAATTGCTGTGTGCATTTGAGGATGCATTGAGGATGATAGAATGTGGGATTTTACCTCTTTGATTGAGTTGAAAGATTTTAGGAATTATCTCCAGCCATCAATAAATAAATTAATGAGTAAGACTAAGAAAAATGTTAGTTCAATTCAAAAGAGGTACTTTTAGAAACAGACAATTTGTTGTTTTCTACAAAATTGTGGGTTTTTTTTGATTTTTCGATTAAATAGGAAGGAATAATCTAAGCACAAGCCAACGGAAGTTCATATAGAATAATAGAGATTTTGCTCAACATTGTCCAGCATACATGTACCACTCCACTTTATATTGAGTCACTCATAGTGATGTTACTGAAGAAGAATGGATGTCTTGAAAATTATTCAGATTTACCACGGCATCAGGAAGTAGCATACTGATTATGCAGATGTAAATGATAGATGCTGCCAATGAAAAGACTTCATTTTCAGGCTAACCTTTAAATGCAAAAGTTGTTGGCTTTTTTAAACTCAGGAGGATATTAACAAACTCCTTCTTAAAAAGAAGTGCAAGGACATAACATAGCAGGATTTACTCAATGCTAACAAATCAAGTGAATGCTGATAAATTTATTAAGAATTACAATAATTTCTTATAGATGGTCTTCACCATCTATAGAGAAATCTAAGATTCCTCTTGTAGCTGTCCTGTCTTTTGTTAGAAATTAGATAGTGTAATTTGAGGTGTCAGAAAAAGTAGTAGCTGAACAAAGCTTTCAATTTGTAACAAGGGAGTTAGTGGGCCATGAATTACAAAGCGTCTCAGTTGCTAGCAGGAAACAGTGTAGTTCTGTATAAACAGCATCAGTAACCAATGGGAAACAGTTTTTCATGAGAATCATATTTACATTGTGCAGTACTTTGAGTCCCAAACCTTAATAGTACAAGGCTATGAATAACAAGAATATATGGATTGTGAGAATTGTTGCTAAGAAGAGAGTACTGTAGGGAAATAGGAATTATATTTTAGACTAAAATCATGCTGCAATCACTGAGGAAGGAAGGCTATCTGCCTTTCTAGTTACCTTTTTTCCCCTGGTTTCCTGTAATGTACCTAGTTCTAGGTATTCTTAGCAATAGAGTACTAAATTAAATGGACCCAAGATGTGTCCAGCAGTGGCACTATCTTTATGCCTGACTACATATTTGCCATGAAATCACTTTAATATTCAATGAAGTATATTACATATAACTGAACTGTGCAATAATCTTGTATCTGTTTTTTTTTTTTTGTAAGTGTTGCTTCATTTCTTCACAAGTGATGCTTCATTCTATAATACATTTTGTACTTTTAAAGTCTTTTGATTAAAAAAAAAATTATTTCTCCTTCCGTTTATTATTTGTATTATTTTTTAACTTCAGGAGCAAAGCTTCTAATTCTGAGGAAAAGCCATGACAAACTTGTGCATTTTGCTATTCATTCAGCTTACAAAATGCAGTGGGTATCAGGATTTATTCCTTCAAAGTTTGGAGAAGTCATTCCTGCACAGAGAGAAAAGCATTAACTGTGAAGCTTGGATTCACACATATACCAAATACTTAATATACTTGTAACTTGCCACCATCACTAGGTTTTTTTTATTTCGTCTAAAATAGAAATGTGCAAAGTTTGACTTTGTATTGAGTCAGGTTTTTGTGCTTTCGAGCTTTGTCTCCATGAACTTCCTGTCAGAAACTTGGAAGAGATTGTTTCTTGTTTTTTAGTGGTGGTTTGTGTGTGTGTGTGTTGTTTTGTTTGTTTGGTTGGTTGGGTTTTTTCTGGTAACAATTATAGTTAGGGAACTCCAAATTGGTGAGCTACAGAATACAAGTAATTGAGTATCCCTTATAAAGGCATTTCTATTAATTTCATCCATCACCAGCAGGTCTTTAAATTACACCTAATTTCTTTTCAGTGTTGGGTGTATCATGAAGTAGATCTTTGATTGCTAGTAAACTAGTAGACCTCTGTGTTACTTACCTTCATGAAATTTAAGATACTATCCCAAAAAAGTTCACCTTTGTATCAGGATCCTAGATGACTGCAGAAAATACTGTCTCTCAGTAATTGGTATTGCTTCAAGAGTGTATTTTCTTCATGTATGTAACTATACTAGGTCGATGAGGAAAGAAAAAGTATCTAGCAAAACAGGGGAAATAGAGTGGTGCTACCAGTTATGGAACTGAATGGTTAGAAAGAAATCACTGTTCACCAGCACAGGCACAGTGTATATATGCTGAATTGGATGTCCCTAGGAGAGGTTATACAATGATACTACAAATAAATATGTAATCACTGTTGTTATCTGACCAAAAAATGTGGTTGTTAATCTTGAGGTATGTTTTTGATGGTGCTTTACGTCGGCTTTTAATGAGCAATATTGTATGTTAGACTCGTACTATATCATTTTGTTGTTAAATATGTTCATAACAGAAAACAAATCTGAAGCACATTACTGTAACTAAGGACTGGAGTAAAACCATTGATCCTTATTTGAAACTGCTGATAAATTTTACTTTACATCATTCCTGGGTTGCTTCAGATGATTAGGTAGAAATAGGAGTCAGTTCATAGAAATAGAAGTCAGTTCAGCAATGTTCTTTCCCCTATGTCTTTGGATTTTTGCATTTCTTATGGACATATGTAGTACTTTTTTGTTATGTTACTTGCTGACTGGGAAGAAATCAGTGGAGAAGAGTATGGAAGCAGCGAGAGAGGGAGGAGACATACTATAATTTTTTTAGCATCTGAAAGCACAGTGCTCAAACTACATGCTTCTTATTTGCTCTTAGGTTTTCAGAAAAAACAACGATCGAGTGGTTGCAGCTCTTTGAAGGGAGTGGGGTTCCATATGGCCCAATCAACAATATGCAGCAAGTATTCTCGGATCCTCAGGTTGGTCCTCATCAAGTCTTTTCTATACATTGTTACATGTGTTTTACAAATGCTGAGTAATCATCACTTTTTCTGCCACTCAAACCTGATTTTGGCTACTTTAACTGGGATTTGAATTATATGATAGATTGAGTTTAAGCCAATAATATGTCACAATAAGAAATAAATACAGATCCTTAAATGAATTATATGCTTAGGAACACAGATTTTTTTCATAATGAATTAAACTGTGGTATTCCATGTGTCATACAGAGTCTGTCTTTCAAAACTGGCTGGTAAAACAAGGAAAGAAATAATATAGTGTGTAATTGCATTTTATCAGATAAATATGCAGAAAAATACCTTTCTTGCTGTCCACAAGTAACTAATTTTCTGTATGGAGTATGGATAATCAGAATCAATATGTTTGGAAAAAAAAATGGGCAACTTTTTGACTGGAAACAGAAAAATGAAGCACAAAAGTCATATGAAGAAAGATCTTAACCTTTTCTTGGCCTGGCGGTTTCAATAGCTCAAAACACTTCATCTATGCATCTCTTTTAAATTTTAAATCTTTCACTGAATTTCATCTATGCTTAGTTATAAACATTTATTTTCACTTTTGAATATCTGTAGAATTACATTATCTGCATATTCTCTGATCCATCCCTTCTTCTAACCTCTTGGCTTAGTATGGGTTAAAGAGCCCAAGACAAATTATACTGTCTTGAATACTGTAAGAGTATTTTGTGGCTAATCTATAGTGTTCTCTCTCCTCTAAGTTGAATTTTACTAATGAGAGTAGCAAGAAAAATGATTGATCGTTGTCTGCTCTTGTGGTTTTTCTTTCAGTTTTGTACATGTCCTTGTCTGCTGTCAGAAGTGTTTGTCAAAACCGTGCTTGTAGTCTCTGGGAATTAAGAACAGGCAAAGTAATCCCTATCATAAAGGAATATGTTTATAATAAATATGTTTGCTATAAATATTATCATACTCTTAGAGGTATAAAACAGTATTTGTTAGGCTACTGCAGGGAAAGTAGTTTTTTTTTTTTTCTTAAATAAATACACTCTTTCTCCTTAAAATGATGTAGTATCATGCTGTAAAGTATGCATGGGCCAAATTTTTCACTTCATAACTTTCACAGGCATTAAGATTGGGCTTTGAAGAACATACAGCAAGAGTATTTTACTCAGACTTGGCTGTACTTGGGGCAGCATCGGAAAAATAGTCTTTTTTTTTTTTTTTTTTTTTTTTTTTTAATGCTGTGAATTTAAAGAAATCGAGTCCACTCTGAAAGAGACTGCTTTTTACAACATTATGTGTCGTGGCATGGCTATTACCTCCCAAACTGAAAAGAGGCTAGCTTGGTTGCCTTGCTCTTGTTACAATTCACCTAAATATTATTTTTACACATATATTATTATATTTATATATGTTATTTATATATACCTCTCAGGTTATTACTTGATGTAGTTAGCCCCTCCATAAAAGGTATCACAGTGCTTAGACATCACTATATGGTATGTTTTTAGAAATATTTTTCTGTAAAGGGGCATGCTAATCTCTCTGTTCCTCACAAAACTGCTGAAAAGCTTTGTCTTTTCTACACTCTTCTCTGATATACATAGCACTCAGGTGTTGTGTTCTTATTACTATTGGAAACTGAATGTTAATATTTGTGGAACGCTTCATGTTATACATTTGTTTCATTTCTGGTGCTGCTTACCTCAAGCATTTTCTCACAGGTATTTTCAATTCAAAGGAAGCAGGGAAAAAAGAAAGACTGCAGTGCTTTCCTCTTCTTCCTTTAAATATGAAAAACTGTTGATGTTTTAAGGTGTTGGCCTTGTGTCAGGATATTTATTTACATCACTTATATAAAATTAAGCCTCCCACTCCAGCATTATGTATCTGAGAGACTATCCAGCAGACATCAATTTGGACAGTTGTATATTTAGCCTATTAAGTGTATTTTTCTAATTTCTACCCAAATTTTTATTTTGACAGTAAAGACTTCAGACCTTCAGAGGTGGCTTCATTACTCTAAGTTACTTATCCATAGCTTGCATTCAGAGGGTTAGGGGCAGTTCAAGCTATTTTTCACCTTCACAGTTCTGGTTTTGCTGTTGTACCTTGCCCAGTCTCCCTCCACTTTTTCATTTTTCTGTTGCTGTATAGGCAGCATGCATCCGCGATAAAAACACATGCTTGTATATATCTTTGCTCCTTCATAAGCTAGTCTGCAATTTTAGTTTCTGAAACCTTGAAAAACATGATGATGTCCTGGACTGTCTAAGACTGAGGAAGAAGTTTAGCAACACCTGAGAGTCTGTAATCTAGGTATCCTCTGCACCATGAAATAGGGAAAAACCAGCACCCACCAACAAGAACATACTGTAATCACAGCAAGATTTATCATAGAATATTTCAGTTGGCAAGGACCTTCTAAAGGTCGTCTACTCCAACCACCTTGCATTGAGCAGGGATATCTTCTACTGGATCAGGTTTCTCAGAGTCCCATCCAGCCTGATCTTGAATATTTTCACAGATGGAGTATCTACCACTTCTCTGGGCAATATGTTCCAGTATTTTTCCACCATCACTGTAAAATGCTTTTCTGTATCTAATCTAAATTGACTCTTCTTCGGTTTAAAATCATTACCCACTGTCCTGTCACAACAGGCCCTGCTAAAAAGTCTTAGTCCTCCTTCTAGTACTGAAGGACTACATTAGGGACTCCCCAGAGTCTTCTCTTCTCCAGAGGTTGAACAGTCCTAATTCTCTCAGCCTTTCCTCATAGGAGAGGTGCTCCATTCAGCCATCATCATGGCCCCTCTCAGGACTTGCTCCAACAGGTTAATGTCCTTCCTATACTGAGGGCCCCAGAGCTGGACATAATACTTCAGGTGAGGTGTCATAAGAGCAGAGTAGAAGAGGAGAATCACCTCTCTTGACCTGCTGGTTACACTTCCGTTGATGCATTCCTGGATACAAGTGGCCTTCTGGCCTGTGAGTACACATTGCCAGGTCGTGTCCAGCCTCTCATCCTCCAGCAGCCCCAAGTCCTTCTCTGCAGGGATGCTCTTGATCCATTCATCCTCCAGCCTGTATCGATACTGAGGGTTGCCTTAACCCAGGTGTAGGGCTTCTCTGAATTTGGAGCTTGTCCAGGTCCCTCTGTATGGCATCCCATCTTTCAGGCCTGGTCAACCGCACCACTCAGTTTGGTGTCGTCTGCAGACATTAAATAGCACTGGTCCCAGTATGGACCCCTAAGAGACACTACTTGTCGCCAGTGTTATATCTCACTGAGCTATTGATCACCCTCTGGGTGTGAATGTCCAACCAATTCTTCATCCACCAAACAGCACACCTGTTTTCTTATGTGTAAGTCTGGACCCAGTCATGAAGTATGAGAACTTTGTAATAACAGTGCTCCCATTATAATATGGTGTTTTTTTACTCTCAATTTAGATCAGAAAATACATTTTTAAGAAAGATGGCACTCAGCTTTGCATTTAATAACCATGCATACTAATACTGCTTAACAACATGTACAAACAGTGTTATTAAAAATTAAGGAGTTTATCATAACGCAGTAATTTGCTTTTCGTTGCCATTTGCTTTAAACTCTAGCAAAGACTTCAGAAAAACATGAAACCCAGTGATACTTCAATATAGACAAACTCTCCTCTACCTCTAATAGATAATGTTAGAGGTTTTGCTGACTTCTGCCATTTTGGGCATTACCAGCAGGTTTGGATCTAAACATTTTATTTACTTTCATTTTATCACCACCATCTTCCTCTTTATTCTTTAAATTTTGATATCCGTAATGCAAACACCATTCATTGTAAGTGAAGTCTTGCACTATTAGTGATGAGGATGCACTGCATGGATATCAACAATTGTGTGCTCAGCTGTCAGTAGTACTGTAAAGTGTGTGCTAGGCTGGTACCAAAGGCAGAAATCCTGGGAGGATGCTGGAATGATGCAAAGAATGACTAGAAAAAAGTGTAAGGAAATAGAGGGAAAGACAGATAAAGGAGATGACTGAAATGGTCGGATGGAACTCAATTGGCTTACAGGTGAGTTGTGTTTTCAAATTTCATTTTAGCTTAAGGGACGTTAGAGCTCTGAAGGCTGAGAGCGATTTATATAACTTCTTCTATAAACTGAGATAAAACAACACATTTTTGATCCCAGGACATTTTGTTAATATCATTAACAGCTTCAATCATACTCCAAGTGAGCTGCCAAAAAACAGGAAGTTTTTTACTAAGTTGGAGTGCCAGGTGATACTGTTTTTTCCATGAATGGAGTGAAACGTTCACTTTTCCCACTGATTATAATCTTTTATTCATTTGTGAGGTTAAAATGAATACTACAGGCATTTGTACTGGTAAGTCAATCAGTCTGTGGATAGACGTATGTGTATACTTGCGCATATGTGGATAAAAAGGCTGAGAGAAGGAGAAGATTCGCTAGTTAAGGGAACAATTTTCTTAAAAACGTGGGGGAGAAAGGAATGTTTGTAAAAGTTCTTACAAACTCTTAATAGTAGAGTATAGACTATTTTAATGAAAATTTATATAGTCAAGCTTTTTTAAACTATTTTTTAAAAAGTGAACTCTTTTAATCGTGCCAAGATAGTGCAAACATTAAGAGAATTCTTAAACCATTTAAAAAACTTATGAATGACCTCAGTATGGTCCCATTTAGCATGCCCTGGGGAATATGTGTGTGAAATACAATGTGGTTTTAGGCTTTCCAAACAAAACAAACTTAAAAGAGAATACCATTTTTAATAGAAACTATTCAAATTCTCCCAAAAGATAAAAGAAAACAAAAAGAGGTACGCACTGTACTGCAGTTAAGTATGCAAGAACAAAGATCTTTGCTGATTAAGTGAGGAGATGTAAGGTTGGCTTTTTTTCCTTTGGAACATTGCCCTCCCATTTTCACAATGTAATTTCTTTCAAGATTCTTATACGGTGCTCTTTAATTAAATGGCTGGC